TTCTTTTTTTTAAACCTATCTGTACTTTCAGTCAACAGCGGGAACTTGTGACATTGTAGTGCACCCTCTCAGCAGATCCGCCTAAATGTCAGCAAACTGCTTCTGAGTGGAATCCCAATTTGCCTTGGAATTAGCGCTTTACACCGACGAAATAATTATCGAGGCAACTCAATGCCTGTCGCTAATATGTGCTGTTAAAAAAAAAAGAAAGAAAAGAAAAGCTGCTCCCATTTCCTTGATCATGAGATAAATGTGGAATCAGTCAGGTCCCCAGTCCCTGACATGTCCTGGCCCCGGAGTCTGGTCCCTGTCTGTCCACTATCACTTGACTTTGGCTGTGGTTTTGGGAAATTACGCACGGTTTTACGCAGAGAAAGTCGTCGGAGTTGCTGCAGCGAGACAACAGAGAAGAACGAATAAAAAGTGTCTGCACTTTATGTGACTGTTTAACCGACAGTCACCTGTTAGATTTAGTGTTCAGAGAAAAGACAAAACTCGCCATGTTTGAAGTGCGTAAAAGCAGAGAATAAATAAATATAATAAACCACATAAATCTCTATGCATACCGACGTGTCACAGAAATATCAGCATTCCGAAATTATTAAATATTCGTAAAGTGAGTGAATTTAATTTTTTTTTATTTTATTTTGAGCGGCACATTGAGTTGTTTAAATGCAGGGCGAATGTTTCCGACAACCAGATTCTGCAGAAGTGTTGAGTTCTGTCCGTTCACTGAGCTGCTCCACAATAATCAACAGATGGAAACAGGTGACACCGGTGTCTAAAACCAGACGTTTCTCATCTAAATTATTTTTAAACCGTAATTTGCGTGGGATGCGGAGTAAATATGAACATTCTCGTTTGTGATCCGTTATAACCTTTTCATTTGACAAACTACAGGCAGACGAGAGAAAATGAGAAGAGAGATTAAATAATAAAAAGCGACAGAAATAGACCCGCGTGGAAATACGGAAACCTGTAGCATTTCACTGAAATGAAGTTTCTTTTTACTTTATTGTTTTATTTCACCGACCGAAATATGTCAAGGGAAATAAATGAATTTAAACGAAAATAAAATGTTTTTAATAATCATATAAGTGTATTTTGGCACAAAAAGCGTATAAAGCGTAAGTATAAAAACCCGGAATATAGCAAAATTATACAGGCCTGCGCATTTTCACTGAAATAAAATCAAGATAAATATAAAGTAAAAAAAAAAATTCTAACAAAAATCCTAAATAAGACGCAGTTTTTGAGGCCTTTTGAGCGCTGATGTTAAATTAGAAAAAAACAACAATCACTTCCTCCAGATTTAAGGAATAAATTAATTTACTTTGGCAGAGAATTGATTTAAAAGTTTTATTTGTAAACATTAAATATTTCTTTCTCTCTAAAGTTCGTGGAATTCGGCACCAAATGCTGTTACAGAAGAAGTCATTTTATAGGTACATGATGATGTGGGCCTATAGATCTCTCTCTCTCTCTCTCTTTCTCTCTCTCACTCACTGACTCACACTCACTCACACACACACACTCACACACATTCTTGAGCCTGTAGGTAATAATAATAATAATAATAATAATAATAATAATTGGATGGAGCTTTTTCATTTCCAAAAGTCATGTTAAAAATCAAACGTCTACCTATAGGACGATTATCAGACATGGAACATATATAGACAACGTGCTCAGCATGATGTTGGGATGAAGTCGTTTAAATTGCACCATGCTTTAGTGTAAGTAGCTCTTATGGCCATAGAAATAATAAATATATAGAAACGTTTATATTCAACAGCAACAATACTTACAGCACATACAAACAAGGAATGTCTGACAGTTTTACAAACACCATGGGTCCCTCCGTTTTCTTTTGTACAGATGAGTTTAACC